GAAAGCATGGCAATGTGAAATTCAATGGAAATGTCAGCTGTACTAATATCATGGAGTCATTCATCACCTTAAACGAAACAGAGTGAATACATCTCATGTAACTGGTTTACTGGTAGTCTCGACTGGTAGTCCATTTATAAACAAAAAATAATTTTATTTCGCCTAATTTCATCAAATATTTTTTTTGAATTTAGGATCAACTTGCCAACTTCTTGCATCTTTGGGGAAGGACGATAAATTTGGTCGAACGTTCCAGCGAAATCCTACCAGTTAACCTCCGTCTGAGTTGCATTGAGGATGGCCTTGTCCGTCAACCAGCAAGCTCACCCTCAGACACCCCACCTCTTACCCCATCAATTGGTACGAGTGCTTTCTCTGCGGGAGTTGCAGGGTCGCGACACCTCTCAGAGCATTCAACCCTCTCGGCCACTCTTCATGCTGGTCAGCGCCAAATCGGCTCTCTTCAGATGCCGGCACCTGGTGTGACGACATCGGGGCCAGTGTACGCCAGGGCATTGATTCCACTCACAGGACCAAATTATGAGATTGCTGATGGAGAGGAGGTGATGGTAATCAGCAATTGTGGTGAACAGGAGCATTTTTGGCGGATAAAGTCAAAGGCAGGCATTGTGGAGGTGCCCGCCGTAGCCATGTGGATCGGAGGTCCTAATCTGGAAAGCATCAATCAAGCAATTCAGTAAGACTTTCAAGCCATCTGGCTGATTAGTATGAAAAATATTTGTACTTTACCCAATTGCCTTAACTTCTAATCTTTGCGACAAAACTGATGCAAACTACTATTAAGTATACGCCCCACTATGATTTCAACTTGGCCGAGTCATCAAGGTAAAAAAAATTTGACTAGCAATGCTAAAATCATAGATTAAATTAACGTCTGGCTTTAGACATTGCTGAAGAGAAGTACGCATACAAACTAATATAAATGATATTCATCTGATTTTAGATAAGTCAGGACGATTCACCTATAGGAAGAAACTGTAAGATAAGGTTATTCGAAAGGATCAGGATTAGGAGACAATCAGTTGCTCTTGAATAAGAACTGTATTATGCCTAAGTCACTTTATGCAGGGTGTACCGTATACGTCAAATAAAATTTACCACTAGGAGTACTTTTTCATTTACTTCTACAAAATCACTGTATCACAATGTAAACTTCCTTCGAATTTGGGTCGGGCGAAATCGTGCATTTTACTAACATCTGCC